GAATGAGATACAGAGAGCATGAGAGGGGGGAGGGTCAGAGGGAGAAGCAGACTCCCTGCTGAGCAGGGAGCCCGATGTGGGACTTGATCCCGGGACTCCAGGATCATGACCTGAGCCGAAGGCAGTCGCTTAACCAACTGAGCCACCCAGGCACCCCTAAGCATCCCACTCTTGATTTCAGCTCAGGTTGAGATCTCAGGGTCATGGGATCAAGCCCCATGTCAGACTCTGTGCTCGCTGCAGAGTCTGCTTGTCCCTCTCCCTCTGCCCCTCCCCCCACTCACGCTCTTTCTCTCTCTCAAAATTAAATAAATAAAATCTTTAAAAAAATTTAACTGGGGTTTGAAAATAAAACCTATATCTACAACTTATAATCACTATAAATCTAAAGCTATAATTAAATATCTATAACCACGTATCTGTATTTATAAGATTTACATTAATATCTCTGTCAAGTATAATCCAGGAACCCAAGCCAAGCTATTAACAAATGTTTATATGATGATGTTGAGAGAAATTTCACTAGTTTCAAGAGTTAATGTACTAAAATAAAACTTGTATAGAGAGCCCACATTATGTTCAGAAAGCCAAATATTTAACAGACAGACCTTTATTACTTGGTTTAAAATCATTAAGTCTATTAGTCATAGATTCCTCTAGAAACTGAGAGTCTACTTTGTGTCAGACATGGTCCTAGTAGTTGATTATAAGTCAAAGGGTAAATTTTCTGGGTCAGTAAAGCCATAATTGCCTAAAGCCCCCATAAAAAATTGTCCATAAAATGCAGCACTTAGAGGCCCCTGAGGCCTAACATTTAGACCCGTCGTGACGATAGATGCTATTAAATGTTCTATACATCAGGTTGGTTGAGCTATACAAAATTAACAAAATTAACATGGTGCAAAGATGATGAAGGATGACCCGTAAAGCCTCTAGTTATTGAATATAAAGTAATTAAGACAGATGATATGAGTGAAACAAAAAAAAAATCTGCATTTACCACTTTGGTTGCCTGAATCTAAGCAGGTCTACAGGTCTGGCACTGAATTTTCTCTAGAAACCCCCATCCTATGCTAACCCAGGAAGCCAATGAATAATGTTATTTAAGAAGCCTACCAAGGGTGGGGGGGAAGAAAGAAACTTAACAAGGAGAAAGTGAGGAAAGTGTTAATATCTATTTGTTTTACAGGTGAAAATAACATTTTGTTGCTTTACGTATTCATATAACCTAATGGATAGAAATGTCTTGTAGAAAGGAAAAATCCTCTTTTCTCCATTAAAAAATAGTTAATGCTTTTCACACTTTTTTTGAACATCCCAAAATACAGTTAAAAATAAATTAAGCTAAGTTTTCCAGGTGCAAGCTTAGATACTGTGTCAATTATAAACACACTGAATGTTATTAAAAAGAAATAAACAGAATGTGTAATAATTAATATGTGACATTATGCACATGGAATGTGGTATCCCGCTTACCTCTTCCAGGGTAGTCTGACTCACTAAGAAATTTGTGATATTTAAAGCAGCCTTGTTGGTTTCTAGCAGATCAAAAATGTTTGCTACTCCTCCCGCCGTGACTGGCACATGATACTCTAGCATGCTGAGGTGCTGATCCTGTGGGGACAAAAGGGAAAAATTTATTCTGCAATGTCAGGTAATATTGAGTTGACTAGACATAACTTGACCAAGAGCTAATACTGAAATTCATTCCATTGCCAGTCATGACAATCAGTGTAAAGGATGGCTATGTTTTGCAGCTAACAACCTGCAAAGATGAGATGAAAAGTTTTACACACGTCAAAGAGGAAACAAATTAAAAACCTAATGAAAATTCCAAAGTATTCTACATTCCTGTGTACTTATAAAGTCCTTATAGTCTTGCCTAGGAAAAAATATTGTGAAATGGTATTTTAGATGTCAGATTATGCTCAGCTCAATTCAGAGATCACATTTAGAAATGTTTGTTTGTTTGTTTTAATGTTAGAAGTGTTCTAAAAGGCTAGGGATAGTTATAACTATTCAATTTATATTGGCTAAAGAGGTTAGATTTCAAGAGCATTGTGAAGGAAAAATCTCATTAAAATACGCCACATTCAGGGCGCCTGGGTGGCTCAGTTGGCTAAATGTCTGCCTTCTGTTCAGGTCATGATTTCGGGGTCCTGGGCTGGAGCCCCACATTTGACTCCCTGCTCAGCGGGGAGTCCGCTTCTCCCTCTCCCTCTGCCCCTCCCCCCCCCACTCGTGCCCACTCGTGCCAGAGCTCTCTTTCTCTCAAATGAATAAAATCTTAAAAAAAAAATACCACATTCTTTCTTAACTCACCCTAAAATTCTTTCCAATTTCTTTATTTAGTCCATAGTATCGCCATCTACTAGTAATCTATTCTTGTTTCCTTGGAACATTTTTAACATCCTGCTTTTCTACATATTTAATCAGTTATCATATCCTATTTGTTTTCCCTCTAAGATGAGTCTCACATTTAAACCTTTCCTCTCTATTTGCACCAATGTTAACTCCATTCTCACCACTCCATATCTGAGTAACTTCCCCAGCCTCTTCCGTGGCTTAGAACCTGCATACGTTCACACATTATGGCACACAGCAGCTAGGAGAATCTTTCCCGAGCACTATTTGATCAAGATATGTTCTTACTCCAGCATCTACCCCTGCAACCTATATGGATCAGATCAAGACTGTGAATTTCACTTGGTATTCAAGACTTCTGTTGCTGGAAACCCCTCCTCTTCTCACTCCTTTGCTCACTGCCTAACCTGTGGATGCATCACATCTGTCACCTCAATCAGGCTGTCTTACTTACTTTTAATCCCCAAATGTTGCTCTTGCTATTTCTCCTCTAGAGATCTAGAAACCACCACATACTTGTAAAGAATGGTCTGTTTAGAAAGAAATGAGACTTTTGTGATCACTGCATTTGCTTTGTATAGCCCTGGTCCACAAGGAACAGAGCAAGGTGAATGTAATCTCATCACTCAGTGAATAAACACAGATTTCAACCTGGAAATTCATCCAAAGAGAAAGCACTGTTGTGATTTGTGTAAAGCAAAGTGTCCTATAATTTTTAAATTTGATTTTAATTTATATGGTAGAAAATGGACTTTGATAAGAAACATAAAAGCTATTATTTCCTGGAGAAGTTAGCCGAGGTTTGGGAGGTCAAGGCAAAGGTATTTTATAGAGATAAAAGAATTGTTTTTAAAAATGCACTCTCTTTTGCTCTCTCCAATCACGTCACATTAATATGGTGCCTTATAGTTTATGAAATAGCTTTGTGGGCATTTTATCATTTGTTTCTCACACCAATCTTGTGAAGTAGATGTCATTATTTCTATTTCACAAAGGAGAAAAAGGAGGTTCAGAGACTTTAAATGTCTTGCTGGAAATCATACAGGCAGAGCTGGATTTCGGCCCAAGCCTTTAAATTTCTTTCCACCATTCCACACCTGATTTCTCTTATTTTTATTTTATTAAAGATTTTATTTATTTATTTGAAGGAGAGAATGAGA